CTGCAGGGTTTAATTTGGTTTTGTTTGTGTATGTTTTTTTGACTCTCAAAGCCGTGATTCCCGTTCACTTCCATTATATGACTGACAGACTGCAACGGTTTGAGTTAAACATTTTTGTTTGTGTTCTACTGAAGAAACAAAGTCACCTACATCTTGGATGCCCTGGGGGTAAGCAGATAAACATCAAATTTCCATTTTTGGGTGAACTATCCCTTTAAGGCATTAAGGTGTTTCCAGCTAAAATACGAGTCCTCTCTCCATAATATTGCTTTCTCCAGTGAAAAAGTCAGCCATTTTTGCATTGGTCAGTATTTTGGCCAGAAGTGATTGTTTAAAGTTCACACCTTAATGACAGATTTGTTTCTAACCAAACCAACAGCAGCTTTTCACTTCATAAGATGTTAACTGATGGACTGGAGTGGTGTGGATTACTTGTGGATTATTGTGATGTTTTTATCAGCTGTTTGAACTCTTCACTCTGACGGCACCCATTCACTGCAGACTGAGGATCCACTGGTGAGCAAGTGATGTAAAGCTACATTTCTCCAAATCTGTTCTGATGAAGAAGTAAACTCCTCTACATCTTGGAGGGTAAGTTATAAGCAAATTTTTATTTTTTGGTAAACTATTCTTTTAATGTAAAGAAACGACTCAAAAAAGGAGGCACAACGATGAGCGCAAGCCATGATCAATTACTATCAGACTGGTTGTTTTTATATATATTCTCTATCAAGCCAGCTAATTAATAATTTAAGAGGAGATGAAAGAAAGCATACCTTCACATATACGCACAACTAATACAACTTGAGAACACAACCACAATTTTCATTTCTGAGGTATATGTAAGCAGAAAAGATTTTAATCATTCAATATATTTGACATTAAAGTGTCTATTCTCCATGAAATACAAAAAGAAAAACACACATTGACAAGCCTTCTGGTCCTCAGTGCACATATGTGACAAAAGGCACTAAGAATGATTATTTTATTTATTTTTTGTTGTTGTTGGTTACTAGTTTGAAATGAAAAGGATGATGCTTGGCTTTGACTTTAACATCAGAACATTTACTGGTGATTTACTGAGACAGTTCATCCAAAACAAAAGCATCCGTGTCATTGTTTACTCACCCCCTGGGCCACTGTATGGAAAAGAGCACCATGAACAATCTGCGAAATATCTCCATTTCTGTTCCATGGAAGTAAGAAAGTCATGCAGGTCTGGAATGACATGAGGGTGAGTAAATGATGACAGAATTTAAATTTTGAGGTGAGCTCTTTCTTTAAGGAGCATGCATAATACTGTAGGGGTATATTACATATAGTAGCTGATCATGACAACTCATTTAAATGTCTTTCTAAAGGCTTAAATAATGTGATCTGAGATGTACCAAGAGTAACGCAGATGCTCGGAGAAGAAAAACAGTGCCACACTAAAAATGTGCGACCCAAACAATCACCTACATGACAACAAGAAGCTCCAGCCGAATTCCGCCTTTACCTTTCTTCGCCAGTTTCAGTCATAAACACACAGTCTCACACTCTCACTCACCTCCAGAACTGTCAGGAAACATTTCACACACACACACAAATGCATCAGAAGCACTGCAACGGTGTCCAAAATTAACCTGCCACACCTGCACAATGAATTGAGATCATTTATAGTATTATTTCTATTGAATAAAAATGCTTTTGTAAAAATCCAGTTTTGTCCTTATGGATAAAATGGTTTTATGTAGGCATTATTTACTCACCCCCATGTCATTCCAAACCTGTATGACATCTGAAGACTTAAAGTCACTTATATCCTACTGTTAGACCTACACCATGTATTAAATTGCAGTTCCTTATAATGTTTCCAGCCACTGCTGCGTTTAATTTACTTGCCAAAACCAATTTTGACTTCCATTTGTCTCTTGGCAAGCATTAATTTTGGACGTTGACTGCAGTCATCTGTCAATCCACTGACTGACGGAGGCAAATAAAACATCCGAAAGGCTGCAAAAGGCTTTCATGAAAAGGCAATTCTACAGTAACGTTTTGGTCTAAAACACTGCAACAATTCAACACCGCACTAAGAATGGCACTTCAGTCGAACATTTAACAACACACTTAGTGTTTTGGAGTATTTTTGACTGCATTGTCCAAAACTGGCAAAGATACACACAAACAACAGACCGAACAAGTCTCTGGACGAGTCTGGCTTCACTGAATGAAGGGCATTCGCTCTTTGTTGTCATTGTCTCCCTCTTGCTCCTCTTCTTCCTCACCTGCCTCACTGGTCTCTGTGCTGTCATTGGCCATCTGAAAGCGAAATCAGAGATCATTGTGTTTTCACACAGACTGACAGCTTCTCAGAATGATCTGAGGTGCAGGAAATCTCTCAGGCATGCATCTCCTCTAGCATTTCAGAGATCTCAACAATTGTGAGGACTGCTGTTATCGGATTGAACTAAAAAATTCAACACTCAAATACATCTCAAATTCTATACACATATTATAACGATAAGACATATAAATATCTTCTAAACACAGAGAAATTGAGAGAGAGAGAGACATAACTAACAACTACAACAGCTATGTTCCAAACCTGTATGATGTCCGTTCTTATATGGAACACAAAAGAAAATATTGAATAATAATAATAATAAAAATTATTTTGTATAGTGCCTTTAAGAGTTACTTTCTTTACACAAAAGCAAACAATGTAAAACGATACACTTTAAATATAACAAATGACAAATAGCAAAAATTACAAAACATAACAGATAATCAAGTAAAAACAATACTGAAATAAAATGTTAATTTTATTATTATTATGTCCATAAAATTAAAGTAAATGCAGTCTAATGATGTTTAGGTTTATTATAGTTAACTTACACTAAATATAAAACCATCAAAATATTTTTTAATGTATAAGCCATTAAAATGAAAAATACAGTCTGATTTTTGTTCATGGTTATTACAGTTACCTGTATCTTAATCTAAAACCATAAAAAATAAATAAAAATAATTATTATTTTTTAAATATTTTATTATTTCAGATAGTCGCCAAGGAAACATTTTTTGTTTTCATTTAGTAAATGAGAAAATGACCAAAACTAAAAAACAAAAATAAATAAATAAAATTAATGAAAAGATATAGATATAAAAGGCATATTTAAAATAATAATAAAAATGACAAAAATATACAGCAAAATTACTAAAACTTTATCTAAAATTAAAAATTAAAAATATATAACTAAAAACTAGTGCCGTCAAATGATTAATCGCGATTAATCGCATCCAAAATAAAAGTTTTTGTTTATGTAATGTGTGTACTGTGTACATTTATTATGTATATATAAATACATACACATACAGTATATATTTTGAAAATATTTACAAGTATATAGTTATATAATTTATATTATATATAAATATATTTAATATAGAAATATAACATATTTTTCTTAAATATATACATGGGTCAAAGACGAAAAGGGTTTAAGCATAAAAACAATAAGTGTAATACTGCTTTAAATTGTTGTTGTTTTTCCCAAAAAATTTGTACAACGTTTTCTGTTAAATTTAATTGCAATTTTGTTTTTGTTTTTCTGAGCAAAAAATAAATATCATACATTTTTCCTTGATTTACAGAAGAGACCCACTAAAATGTCATGCAGTGTAACAGTCTTGTCAGGCATATTTACAACAAAAATCAATTTATGACATATTAAAAGACTAATTACTTTCACCCCAAATACTAATTAGTTGCAATTTTACATTTTTAAAATTTGCCACTATCCTAGGTTTTGCCCATTTGTCAGTAAGAATTTTTTATTAATTTAAAACACAATCAAATTTAATATGCTTCCTTATTTTTTTATATAAATACATACACATACAGTATATATTTTGAAAATATTTACAAGTATATAGTTATATAATTTATATTATATATAAATATATTTAATATAGAAATATAACATATTTTTCTTAAATATATACATGGGTCAAAGACGAAAAGGGTTTAAGCATAAAAACAATAAGTGTAATACTGCTTTAAATTGTTGTTGTTTTTCAAACAATAAATATTTATAGTAACAATCAAATTTAATATGCTTCCTTATTTTTTTATATATTTTAATATGTACACGTCAGAATAAGCATGTTGTTTGAATTTTTACATAAATATTGTGTTACACTGAATGACAATGTAACATTATTTCAACCAAATTTTGACATTTTATCCTCCAAAAACTTATTTGAAACCTTAAAAGTAGACACTTTACTTACATTTAATGTGCTTTCTATGGACATAAAATCACTTTTGTAAATTTCTCTTTCTTTCTTAACGTCTTTGACCCACATGCATGTGTGTGTATTTATATATACATAATAAATATACACAGTACACACACATATATTATGTAAACAAAAACTTTTATTTTGGATGCGATTAATCTTTTGACAGCACTACTAAAAACTAATTCAAACTGTTAATACAAACTATAAATAAAATCTCAATGATACTAAAATAACCTGATGTTGTTTAGACAATGTTCTTCAAAATATCTTCTTTAGTGTTCTACAGAAGGAAGTAAATGATGGGTAAATGATGACAGAATTTTCGTTTTTAGTTAAACTATCCCTTGAGGGTCCTGAGCAATGAGCGACAGTTTAGACATTATCAGCTGATCCTTCAAACACCTTCCTCATTTGAGGAGAAACATCTAAGACACAGTAGATCAAGGCTTCTGAGCTAGAAGATCAACATCTACACAATCAAATCTTCTTCTGGGAAAGGAGAAAATGGAAAACAATTTGATCAGATTCTTCTTCTGTTGCTCCGAAAACACTAAAGGTAGATTTCATGAAAGCAAGCTGTTGTAGGCCACAATTTCCACAGAACGTCTCTTCTGAGAACAGCGTCATAAGGCGCAGTCTCCATGGAAACAGCTGAGGTGATGTCGCCCGACTCTTGGATCACTGTCACAATAATGCCATTTTTTTGTTCCTTCTTTAAGTAAACAGGTGTATTATTCAGATGTGCCTTTGTGCTTCATAAAAGATCACTTTTTTCCCCTCACACAGTTTTGGATACACCGAATCTAAAAAATAATGATGTTCAAAAACTGAACAATGCAAGACATTATGAAAACAGAAAAACGAAAGGGCAGCACCAATGGTTGACATGATAATTATAATGTTTTGCACATAATGTTTTGCTCGCCTTAGAACACGGGTCTAAATTCAAAGGCAGGTTTTAGGATGACTCACTCACCAAAGGCGTGGGAGACTTTTCCACATCCAAAATCAGCTTCCCTATGTTTCCTCTGTCATGGATTCTCTGCATGGCTTCCTTCACCTACAGGTTAACAAGAGTAACAAATCACATACACACAAATATCAAGAAGTGATGCATAAGCTCCATATTGCCTCATGTCATGTGTGTAGTGTCACAGACAATACTAAAGGGGGCAGCAGAGTCACAATCAGCAATCAGTACAACCAATGCACTCTATTAAACTTCAGCAATGAATTCTGTCAGTATTTATGTAACTAGTTCTAAATCCTCGTTGTTTCTAACCTGTATGATTTTATGTCTCCAGCGGAGCTCAAAAGGAACTTTCTATGAATAGGGACTATAGACCCTTCTTCCCCCAGTGTGCCGTTGCGATTATATCAGCGAGGTTCAAAATAAGACTTTCAGTAAATAATAACCTACATTTCTGTCTGTCCCTCACACACAGCTATTATATGACTTCTGAAGACTTATTGAAAAATAATAACAAATTTTGTGGATGATTTCTTGGGTGCTATTGCATCCGTTTGGAAAGTTTCAGTCCCATTTCAATTCAATTCTATGGGAAGGAATGGCCAGCCATCTACTTTTGTGCTCTAAGAAAGAAAACCATAAGAGTTTGGACCACCCCAAAGGCTGGAGTACACTAAATTGACAGTTTTTCTGCCTAATTTGTAACCTGGATGAGTCAACGCTAACTGTTGAAAGTCAGAGCCAGTCTGCAGATTTTGGACTGTTGGAGTTGACAGATTTCACAGAAAATTGCATAGTCTGTGGAGATGGACACAGACTTTTAACTTCAGACTACGATTTCATCCAGTCGGCGTACATAAAACATGTTTGATATTTTAAAACACAACACGTTTAAGCAAAAAGATGCATGTTCCTATGTGAGTTTGTTATGTTCAGAAAGACTCTCAGAAAGAGTCTGGTAGTGTGTGATCCTCAGTCATTTACTGTATGATGCCCAGTTTTTCCTCTACAAAGCTGGAAAGCGTATGATGCCTATCCACCTTTTTTCCTACGCACCTGATGCTTTATGAATTATGGGTGTAACTTCTGTTACACTGTAAACAATCAAGCCTCACTCTATTAATGCAATAATAAGCATTTTCAAGAACTGGGTACAATGACGTGATATTATTCTACTCACCCTTCAGCCATCAATCATTAAAATTAAATTTAAAAGTGCAAAAGCATTAACAAATTACTTACCATGAATTATCCCAAAAGCTAAATTATTTCCGCAGAAATAATACAGACATATGAAATATTACTGCAGTACTATGTCTATATTATGTAGCATACGTTGACTTAAAGGGGTCATATGATGCGATTTCAATTTTTCCTTTCTCTTTGGAGTGTTACAAGCTCTTGGTGCATAAAGAAGATCTGTAAAGTTGCAAAGACTAAAGTCTCAAATCCAAAGAGATATTCTTTATAAAAGTTAAGAGTCAGCCACACCTACCTAAAACGGCTCGTTCTAACACGCCCCCACATATCTACGTGGGGGAAGATTTGCATAACGCCGCCCAAATGTTCACGCAAAGAAAGAAGGCTTAACTTTTATTTTTTTGTTGTTTCCGCCGCCATGTCGTAAAGACGCTGTGTGCTTCGTTGTGAAAGCGAAACTACTTTGTTTGGTCTTCCAAAAGAGGACGATATCTGCTTCGTCATGCCTGGAGCTGATCCGTGCTGGTTGCTGAGGAAATACTACAACTTTGCGCTACAATGCCGGCTGTTCTGACTCAAAGACTGTAAGTACGTATTTTATATTTAAAGAGTTTTTATATTTTATATATTTAAAGTCATTTCTCCGATCACAAATGCAGACATGGTTTTATGTTTACGCGGCGCGATGCAACGCAACGCGTAAAAAGACAGTATAA